CTGAAAATTGCTCATGGCAATGGACAAGTCCACCGCTCTTAACCACTACACCACACTGGCTCTCAAGACCTGAGCCCTTGCTGCTCCTTTCGGAGATCTGCTCTGGACTTATGGGGATTCCATGTGGGTGTTCGAAATTGAAATACTTTATTGTCACTTGTACAACTTGTATACAGTGAGATTACACGGACATCCCCCACTCAGCTCTCTTAGTCGTAATTCCCCTCGTTTACCGACACACACCTACCAAACCTGAAAGTCAGTTGCCCTGTTGTTATTTTTTCATTCAGCAGCCTAACGGCCCACCTGTTGGTGCGACTAATCATGCTTCTATATATTCTGCCCGAGGGCAGGAGATCCAGAAAGTGCCGGCCAGGGTGTGAATCATCCCTGAGAATTTTCCTCACTCTCCTGAGGCAAAGTTCTTCCGCTATTTCATCCAGGGGATTCATGGGACAGCCCATAATATCTTGTGCTATCTTCACCACCCTCTGTAGGCACTTCCTATCAGTTGATGTCAAACCAGCGTACCACACCGTGATGCAGTATCGAATTGGAACCCTCCAATTCGATGGAAATAAAAAGAGTTTTTGCTTCCCCAGCTGAATAAAACAGCAACAGGTCAGGACTACCCTGGGGGTGCAGGGAAACTGAGGTGAATGGAATGGTGAGGGGCAGCTTGCCATCTGGCAATTCCAACTGGTGGCTTTGTAACCTCTTACAGAAGGTGACAGGTTTCTTCACCTCCTCTCACCCTTCCGCAAAGGAAGATCAGCCTTCTACTGCTAAGCCATCATGAATCCTGTTTGAGAAGGTGTCTGGGGACTTACAGGCAGACTGGTGCAGTGCAGGGAGACAGAGAGAGAGAGAGAACATAATTGCTATGGGTACAGCTGCCCATTTCCCATCTGCTGAGCCCATCCATCTACTGTATACCTGACTATAAACAGCTGTGTCTATTGCGAGTGCCCATTTATCATTACTTTGTTGTATCTATCCATCATCCACCATTTGGGTCTACGGCTAGTCCAGATACTTTATTTCCCATTTGTCCACCAACGGCCTTATCGCCACAGAACTGATCGTTCCTTCCTAGTAGGTTTTGCATGCCCGCAAAAACAATAAATTCCATGATATGACTACTCAGCAGTGAGCCCTATTGGGTCCAGTGTCTAAGTCTGCAATCTTACAGCAATGTTGGGGCCTAACAGGGCCCTGGGGGGACTGACTCTGAGTCATAACTTGAGATCTGTGCAATGGGCAGGATTCCCGTGCAGAGATTTCTCGGTAAAGCGGGGAGAAACATTGACTGAAGGAAGGTAGTATGTAAACCTCTGTCGTATATCGTTGCATATCGGCCTTCAATACTGTAAAATGGTAAATATTGTTGCTTATGGTTTTTATTGCTGTGAGTGGTAAAGGTAAAGGGACCCCTGACCATTAGGTCCAGTCGTGGCTGACTCTGCGGTTGCGGCGCTCATCTTGCTTTATTGGCCGAGGGAGCCGGTGTACAGCTTCCGGGTCATGTGGCCAGCATGACTAAGCCGCTTCTGGAGAACCAGAGCAGTGCACAGAAACGCCGTTTACCTTCCCGCTGGAGCGGTACCTATTTATCTACTTGCACTTTGACATGCTTTTAAACTGCTAGGTGGGCAGGAGCTGGGCCGAGCAACGGGAGCTCACCCCGTCACGAGGATTCAAACCACTGACCTTCTGATCGGCAAGTCCTAGGCTCTGTGGTTTATCCCACAGTGCCACCCGCGTCCCAACTGTGAGTGGTAGATAGGGCCAAATATCTACCACTGGACATCAAATGCTGAAATTCAAGAACATAGGAACTTGGCTGTTGGATCAGACCAAAGTCCCACATCCTTTTCTCACAGTGGCTAAACTGGGAAACTTGTAAACAGGATCTGAGCTCAACAGCACTCTCCTCACTGGGTGTCTCAACACTGTCTCAGCACTCTCTCAATATTGAGTGTTAAACACAGATACTCATATGCTTTGCATACTCACCCATTTTCCAAATATTCAGAAAGCAGGTGAGCATGCAGAGAAAGTCTGGAGAATATCAAACACCAAATTCTAGGAAGACTTTTGGGGCATCAAACTTGCAGCCAACTTCTGTGTCAATCTTTGCTCAGTTAAAGAGTATATTTACTGAGTCACGTTTCATAACCAGCTATTCATTAAGGCAGAGTTACGCTAAGGTTCCCATTGGATTTAACCTTCTGAATATTGCATATGCCCCAATACTTAGTGTTAACGCCAAGGCTCAGAAGAATTCAGCCGGCTTCCAAAGCCCATGTTTCATTTCTCAGATAAAAGACAGCTTGCACATTGGAATATTCCCTTACCTCTGTCGAGGGAAGGGCAGGAAAGTCGATTCTGGTGATACGTACATAGGCTTTAGAGAGGTAATGGCATGAAATTAAGGAGATGTATTGATGTGCCTTTGTAAAATGAAGAAAACACAGATTCCCAGAAGCCTCTGGGAATCTGTTCCTGGAGAATCTTCTAAGCTTTCATGGATTTTCCCCTTACTGTAATTTTTGCATGAGTGCCTAAAATATTCTTAGCGCTTCAGGGAATATAGTTCCTGGGATCAATGAACATAACACATTCATGCTTATTCATAGACAGTGGGAGAGACATGATCTGTCATCGCAGTTGTCACATGATAGCCTAGTTATTTGATGCTTTTATCCTATGGTGATCGGCTCCTAACAGTATCAGACCTCTGTGGGAGAAAAGCTCCCATGTGATGAGATTACCACGTTGCTAACAAGTCAATAGCCATAAGCCTAATGGAGCCTTCCTGAATTGGCCTTGATGAAGAGGGGCACTTTTGTGGGGTTGTATTCAGGGCTGGCCTGAATATTATGTTTTAGAAAAGAAGATTCAAAGAATGAGGAATTATCTTTAAAGATTCCATCTCTCTCCCCCCCCAGCCCCAAGTAAAGCTCACAGAAAATTTGGAGAGCTGGGCAAAAATGTACAGGAACTTCTAAGCATCCGAAATGTGTTTTTTTAAAAATAAGATTATCAAAATTTCTCAGGGTAGGTTCTCAGGTAGGTTTCTTACCTCTCTGAAGTTGCTTTAAAATTTCACAAAAATGGAAATCCATAATGAATTTGCAGATTCTTTCTAAGGGAAGAGGGAATTTGGAGACAGCTATAATTCCTTAATTTAACTAATTGCAGCATTTCTTATTATTGTTTTAGTTTAGTGCATTCTGGTCCCACAAACTGAGGTTTTGTCTTTCCTTTAGAAATCCAGATGAAACTTCCAGTTCAAAACGTGAGATCCAGCAATCCTCTTTTCACATATCCGTTTAAAAGTAAAATATCATGGATGATGTCCCCAAGTAAGCTTCTGAAATAGGGATCTTGCAGAATTTTGTCAGAAGCAGAAATGGGAGCATACATGTTGCACGTTCATCTGAGGTCAGGAACAAAAAATGCTAGTGAATGTGAGCGGTATCTGCCAATGTTACTTAAAGAATTATGTTATATTCCGCATTAATTATTTCAATTTTCTTTATGCTGAAATGCATTGAAATTAATGATACAGTTGCATATGTTTTGGCCACGGTGGGTGGCCAAATATTGTAGGTTTTAGTGGAAGCTGAACTGTAGTAGGGCAGAAACGGCACTGATTGCGACAAACCCCAGAATGCGATGAGAATTGCCTTACATCCCTGCTGTGAAAACCATGCAGCAATGAGATTTGTAAATATAGTCAATAGCATTGGAGACTTTTTGAACCTCTGGATATTGCCAGATTCGGACCACTTTTTATATGCATGAAATCTTTTTAAAACTTGGAAGCTTGACATTTCTTGGAATTCTGAGAAGGTGGCAATGGGCAATATTAGTTAAAAGATTCCTGCACTGAGCAAGGGGCTGGACGAAATGCCCTGGAAGGTCTACTATGGCGGCAAGGTTATTGATCGCCAAAAATTGGAAAAGCAGCAGCGTCCCAACTAAAACAGACTGGTTATCTAAAATGATGGAATACTTCCATATTGCCAAACTAACAGGGAGGGTAAGAGGAGATATGGTAAAAAAAGTGAATAAGGAGTGGGCTATCTTTAAGGAATACATCAAAAATTATGTGGAAAATGTAGAATTTCTGACAGATATTGAGTGAATCCAGAAAATGATTAGAGTGAAAGGAGAGTAAAGTCAAGATAGAAGAAGAGATTAAAGAAATAATGAAATGCATTTAAGCTAGTGTAGGTATGTTGATATGTACAGTATAGGTAGGCATTATATAGAGTAATGTAGCTATGTTATATAGAGTAATGTAGTGTGTTATGTGGGACACGGGTGGTGCTGTGGGTTAAACCACAGAGCCTAGGACTTGCCGATCAGAAGATCAGAGGTTCGAATCCCCGCGACGGGGTGAGCTCCCATTGCTCGGTCCCTGCTCCTGCCAACCTAGCAGTTCGAAAGCACATCAAAGTGCAAGTACATAAATAGGTACCGCTCCGGCGGGAAGGTAAACGGTGTTTCCGTGCGCTGCTCTGGTTTGCCAGAAGCGGCTTAGTCATGCTGGCCACATGACCCGGAAGCTGTATGCTGGCTCCCTTGGCCAATAAAGTGAGATGAGCACCGCAACCCCAGAGTCGGTCACGACTGGACCTAATGGTCAGGGGTCCCTTTACCTTTTTAGTGTGTTATGTATGTGTACTGTGTAAATGTATATGTATGTGTTTTATATGTTAATAAAAATAAAAAGGAAGGTCATTTCCAAGCGATATATTCTATAACTCTATGCAGCCTACGAGCTGAGGGATGCAGCCAAGGCAGTTCCTTCCTCATAAGACATCCTTTGCTTGTGTGCTGATCTGTGGTAGGCTTGGATGAGCTGAAAGCTGCTCCTCGCAAAAAAATGAATTGAGCTCCCTTGAGCAAACTAATCAAATATCAAAACCTCTTGAGGGAGATGCAATATTTGAAAGAATGCTTAAAGGGGTGTGTGTGCAGTCGAGGCAGCTGAGTAGCTTTGAAGGCAGAGATTGTACAGGGTATGCCTCCTTTCCTAGGCTGTTCAGGAGGGGACCTGCATGATGGACTGAGGTTGGGGGCGCTCATGGTGAACTCCGCATTCCCACTTTGATTCTCCTTTGGAGAAATGAGCAGGAGAAATGAGCATTCAGGTGCTTATTATTTTTTGTGTGTGATAACCTTAACGTGGGTTTGATAGAGGTGTGGTTCTGCATTTCGGAAGAGAGCAGGACTTGGCAGCCTTTGACCACCTTCTAAACCATTTTATTCCAGGATTCTATGCCTCTGCACATATACAGCTAGGTAAAACCGTCCCCCCATTGTTATAAGAGAGATTCAGCCCCAATTATGATAACAGTTCTGGCTGAATCTATTAATCTACACTCGGAGCCCTTCTCCATTCCCTGCCTCCTGCTATAAAATGCTCACAGCAATCTCTCCGAAAAGAAAATCCACGCGCCAAAGGATGAATTCCTTCTTGCTTTGAGGCCCGCTGACTTTATCCAAAGTCCAATAAAAATTACCATATCTGAGTTGAGGGGGGAATAAAGCCAGTGAATCGCAAATCCCCAGTAGGTCTGACACTGTATTAATTTTGGGAGCGTAAGCAAAACAGCACTGCATTTGTTCTTTGCACAAATTGGAAAGGATGGACAAAAGACAGTGGTGCTGCTGGTTGTGGGAGACCGGTGGACATCTGGGTCCTGTGTTTCAGAGGTGCAGGGACGAGGCAGGCAAGGGGTGCTGCTATTTCAGATTTGAGGGATTAGAGAGGGTTTTTTCTAGATGTGTAGGTCTCCTCACCTTAGGCTGTGATGTGCATCATTCGAAATTGCCTCTCCTAGCTCTGTCTTCTGTGCCTTTACCTGTTAACCTCCAACCTGGGAGCTTCCCTTTTCTGTCACACTCACCTGGGTTCTCCTTTGGGAACTGAAAAATGTTAATGGAATATGTCCCTGCAGTCTGCAGTCTTAGAATCATAGAATTTTAGGGTTGGATGGGACCCAAAAAGTCATCTACTGCAACCCCCTGCAATGCAGGAAAGATGACAATTTGGGTCTTGCTCGTACGTTGCCTTCATACAACAGGGCCTGCAGAACACACTGGCCCACCTAGCCATGTAACCCTGGCTCAATAGTGGCTTGAGAATCCTCACTTTTCCCCTACCTGAGATTGGCAAAAGAAAACAATAAAAAAATCAGCAATAATCCACAACCCGCTTGTCAGTTAGCAACAATCAAATTCAAGCGACTGTCAAAATTAATCCGTGAACCTGTTTTCGAGATTCATGTTTGCCATTATTATCATTTGCATTAAGAAGTCAATGTGCAAGGTCAGAATGGGCAAACGAAACAGAGCAGGGGGAAATCCAGCCGGTACACATTTCTGCATCCATGTCAACTGCACAGCTAGTCTGAACAGCACTTGCTGTTTCAGTGAGTTTACATATGTTAACAAGCTTTCAATTTCTGTTCCAGACTTGAGTTTCGACTTTGCTGCTTATTTACATGCTTATTCACTTACTGCATCCATTTGCTAATTTCAGTTCCAGATTTCACCATGGATTGTAAGCTTTCCCTATCAACTCTCCGAGGTGCTGAAACATTGGAGCATCAGGCTAAGCTAGATTGTTGTTGTTGTTCTTGTTCTTGTTCTTGTTGCTGCTCCTTTCTGCAGAGGGGAGTGGGGAGACATACAAGAGAACCCAGGAGGGCACCCCCCTCTAGAGATTTTGCTTTGCTAGGCTATTCAGGTCCCATATGTTGGCTGGTTAATCTTTGCACCCATGTGTGCGGCACCAAAGCTCTGCAAACCAATTTCTCAAAACAGAGGCTGGCTGCTTTCTAAGGTGCGGCAGCTACTGCGCTGAACTTAGTTCATTAAGGATCATGGATCACAGTTGGTGAATTTCTGCTGCTCTTAGTCCTGGGCTTCCTTCCAAGGCAGCTAAGAAGCAAAGCAGTGTGTCCAGAGAAATCAACATACTGCTTTTTCAAAGATTCCTCTCTGTTAATCGCCATTCAGCGAGAGACGGCTGCTCACAGCATCTTCGGAACAAGGCCTGGCACCAGTTATTATCTTGCATTTTCTCACTGATCTAGTGTTAGAAGACAACAGTCTTATCCCATAGAGGCACAACATATGGCACTCTAATCCCAGGGGGGTGGATACATGACCCCCTCACAAGACTGATCTAGCTTGTGGGTCATTTTTAAGGACACGACAAATTAAAATATGAGAACCTTTTCTCCTTATCCTCAAACCAGCTGTGAATGTTGTTGTTGTTTAGTTGTTTAGTCGTGTCCGACTCTTCGTGACCCCATGGACCAGAGCACGCCAGGCACTCCTGTCTTCCACTGCCTCCTGCAGTTTGGTCAAACTCATGCTGGTAGCTTCAAGAACACTGTCCAACCATCTCGTCCTCTGTCGTCCCCTTCTCCTTGTGCCCTCCATCTTTCCCAACATCAGGGTCTTTTCCAGGGAGTCTTCTCTTCTCATGAGATGGCCAAAGTCTTGGAGCCTCAGCTTCAGGATCTGTCCTTCCAGTGAGCACTCAGGGCTGATTTCCTTAAGAATGGAGAGGTTTGATGTTCTTGCAGTCCATGGGACTCTCAAGAGTCTCCTCCAGCACCATAATTCAAAAGCATCAATTCTTTGGCGATCAGCCTGACAAAACAGTTACCTGGTCATTTTTACTTCTTTCCCCCTCCCCAGAACACTGATTTTCTTACATTTGTACACAAGTCCACTGCCATGTTTGTTGTTGTTGTTTACTGAAACAATGTCCAAATGCACATCTATGGAGATTTAGGAGTGCAGGCATCACAGACCTGCTCCCCAGATTTTGGCTGCCAATGCACTTGGGGAGGAAACCCAGTTGAACACACTGGGGTTTATTTCAGAGTATGCATGCACAGGAATTGCCAGGGATGGTTCATGAGAATCAGGAGCGTGATCTCACGTAACAGAATAGCTGGGAAAGAGTCTGTGCCTAAGACCTCAGAGAGCTGCTTTCAGTCTGAGGAGACAATATTGGGCTAGTGGTATCCATGGTCTGACTGAGATGTCACTAGAATGATGTCACAGTGCATCCCAACAGGCAATAAAGGCAGCCAAGGATAGAAAGCTGGCATGGAAACCAGCCAACATGTCAGTAGGGGCATGGATGTGGAAGTGGTGGCTTTGATAGGTTTATCTTCTGTATAGGTTGTTGGCCATCTACATAGTATATTGGGCAGAACAACAGTTAACTATATGTTAGCGATATAACACTCTATTCTGCCTTGGTCAGACCCCACCTGGAATACTGTGTCCAATTCTGGGCCCCATAATTTAAGAAGGATGTTGACAAGCCGGAACGAGAGCAGAGGAGAGCGACCAAGAATACCCAGGGTTTGGAAACCAAGCCTTATGAGGAACGGTTGAGGGAGTTGGGTATGTTTAGCTTGGATAAAAGGAGACTGAGAGGTGATATGATAGACACCTTCGGATATGTGATGGGCTGTCGCCTTGAAGATGAAGCAAGCTTGTTTTCTGCTGCTCCGGAAGGTGTGGCGTTTGCCCGTTCCTTTGAAAATGTCTGTACCAAGGGAGAGAAAGAGTTAATAGGTAGACCAATAGAAAAGCCAGAGGCGGAGCCTACCTGTTTATATAAGGGCTTAGCCCAAGGTTTGGGTTGTGGGTAGTTGGTTGGTTTTAGTTGGTTAGTTGGGAAAGGCAGTTGGGAAAGCAGTTGGCAGACAGTTGGAAATAGAGAGACAGTTAGTGCAGTGGGTTCTTGTATGAGGGGAGGTAGAAGAGTTAGAGACAGGATAAAATAAGACTAGGAAGGTAAAGAGTAACAACGTTTTGAATGCAGTTAAAGTTTATTTGTGTCTGCAATAAACTACACTCTTCTTTGTTAGCTCAAGAACCTGACTGAGATTAAGTGATTTACCAGGGAGGACCTGGTTGGTGGCAGCGGATTAGTGGTGTGTGGGTCAACAGTCTGTGAGATGACCGGGGGCTCCGTACGAATGCCACAGAAGGTAATACCTGAATCAGTGGATTCAAATTACAATAAAGGAGTGTCCAACTAAATATTAGGAAGAACTTTAGGACCGTAAGAGCTGGTGAATGGACTTCCTTGAAAGGTAGTGGACACTACTTTCTTGGAAGTTTTAAAACAGAGGCTGGATGGCCATCTCTCGGGGGTTGGACTAGATGACCCTTGGGATGATGATGATGATGATGATGATGATGATAATAATAATAATTTATTTGTATCCCACCCTCCCCGGCCAGGCTCAGAGCAGCTAACAACAGATAAAAATAGCACAGTGCACATAAAATCGCACAGTCAATTAATCAAAATACATTCGAGAATCAATTCAGAATCAAATTAATGGCAACCATCGGGTTAGAGTTCTATGAAGATTACAGAAGGAGAAAGGGGGTCAGACTGTGCCTTGGCCAAAGGCCTGGCAGAATAGCTTCATCTTGCAGGCCCTGCGGAAAGATGTCAAGTCCCACAGGGCCCTAGTCTCTTGTGACAGAGTGTTCCACCAGATCGGGGCCACAAAACAGCCCTGGCTCTGGTCGAGGCCAGTCTAACCTCCCTGTGGCCTGGGATCTACAAGATGTTTTTATTTGAAGACCGTAAGGTCCTCCGTGGGACATACCAGGGGAGGCGGTCCCGTAGGTACAAGGGTCCTAGGCCATGTAGGGCTTTAAAGGTTAAAACCAGCACCTTAAACCTGATCCTGTACTCCACCAGGAGCCAGTGCAGCTGGTATCGCACCGGGTGAATGTGATCCCATGGCAAGGACCCCGTAAGGAGTCTCGCCATGGCATTCTGCACCTGCTGGAGTTTCTGGGTCAGTCTCAAGGGCAGCCCCACGTTGAGTGAGTTACAATAATCAAGCCTGGAGGTGACCGTCGAATGGATCACAGTGGCTAGGTCAGGGCGATGGGAAAGACACCCAAACCCCACAGACCGTGGGATATCTGAAGAATGCCTAAATTTCTGCTCAGGTGGCAAAGATAGCTTGCTTTAAGAGTTTGGTTATTAAACGCTTCCATCTTACCGCTTTCCCATGCCAAGTTCCAGCTGGCGTCGGGCTCATAGCATCCAAGAGCTTGGCACGGGCTCTGGGATGCTCCTTTGAAGATTGAGCCACAATACTGGGCGACATCATCATTAGCATTTCTGGATGTTTTCCAAAAGGAAAAAAGGAGAGAGAAATCACCCTATCCCCCCACCCCAAACTCTGTTTTATGAGGAAACTTCAGTCAGGTTAATCCATATGGCAGGACTGGACACCCCTGTCCCTTTAGGGACCAGATTTTAATTTGGCCACCACTCTAAATTAAGGTTGGGTTTTTATTGATCTGCTGCCTGTTTTTGATGCGGACTTTTGGCCCAGACTTTCCAAATCTCCTGAACAGCTGCCTGCAGTGGTCTTGCACCCAGTTTTATAAAAGAAAAGGAAAAGGATAAAGCTCAGTAGTACTGCATACAATTTGATAGTTAATTAATTGTGGCTGCGAAAGACTGCTTGTCTACCACTAGTGACTTTCTCAAATCTCACCAGAAAGTTTGTGTGGAGGGGAGGGAAAGTTCACATTTTTCAAAGCAGAGTAGGTTAGTAGCTTTCCTATTTTTGTCACTTATTTGCATGTTTTTATTCCTAAATCTGTTCTGTCCCATTTGTGCAATAATCTGCAATTTTGGGAAGAACAAGAAGTATGAAAAGTTGTATTCAAACAGAGATTTAAATATGTACTTAAAACACACATTTACCACACTTATTTAAATATGTATTTATCTCGGTGAATGAATGTGGTTCTCAATGCACTTTATACTTAGATATGCATCTTTAAAATTTATGTGGTACATTTCTTTTGCCCAATCTGAAGGATAAGGACGATCCTGCAATAGCATTAATCTGAAAGGGGAAGATTAGGCCAATTCCCCACCCCTCTAAAAAACCCCACACACAACAGGTCAAATGAAATTCTCCATCTCTAGATGGTGGCTAGTTCTAACAGACTTGTGTGCGGCACTTGTACGAACTGAGCATGCTCTGAAGAAAGCATCACAGAGTCCTTTGTGATGTGCAGCGATTCCATGCCCAATGATGTACATGGGCTCCAGAGCAGACGTTGAGAGAAAAGGTTCTTTGTGAGCAGGAAGTTTCATAAACCACCAACAGAGGCTTCTACTGCTTCTGCTTTTCGATGATGCCCAGTTGGATTCTTGCTTGCTGTTTCCTAGCATTGCCATTCTGCATGCCTGCCATGGACTGGCTAGACGCAGAGGAATGGTGGGAGGCACCAGCTGGGGAACCCTCAAGCGAAGAGGGCTTAAAGCCCAGGGAGTGGTGGTGGGACGACAATGAGTGGTCAGAGGGAGAAGACTGGGAAGAGGAGGTGTCGGAAGCTGAAGAGGCAACAGGGCTTAGTGAGCAGGAAGAGGCTGTGGCAGAGAGCAGTCCAGAATCAGAGGCAGGAGAGGAGGGAGGCCAAGAGGCAGAGATGAGTCAGGCTGGTGAAGAAGCCAGGGTATCTCCCACTCCTGCTGTGACAAGCTCCCATCCCTGCTGGTTTTGCAGAACCAGAAAAGGTATGACAAGGGAAGAGTAGTGACAGGCAAGTCAGTAGAGTCTCAGATTGCTTGGGAAGGACCCAAAGTAGGAGAAGGAGAGAGGTTTTTTATTATTATTATTTAAATTAGTTTTCCAATATACCCCTAATAATAGCCTAACAATAACAATTAATTCCCAAATTATACAATTATCAAAATGCCAATCAACTTCCAATCAATACATTTTAATTAAAGTGGCTCCCCGCATGCTGGACTAGGTGCATTTCTGATCTTATATCACTGCGTTCCATAATCTTAATTAATATCAGTTACATTTCAGTTATAATAATAATCCCTTAGTCCACAGCTACATAATTAACGATTTCCATTCATGATGTTATAATACATAAGTTTATAAAGCTTCAAGTGAGGAACTCAGACTGTTATCTTTATTCTGCCCTGCGTGTGAAAACTGTTATATCCATTGGGGGTTCCTTCTGTTCATATATGGTGTTGTCTCTTTCACTTCCTAGCTGTTTTCTCCCATCATGACTTGGGACAGAACTGAATCTCGAAGTTTCTCAGGGGTCCCTTCCTTTGATGTCTCGGAACAGCTGACAGTCTGATAGAAACCATTATGTCTCACTAGTAAAACATGTCTCAGATCTTCGCCATTTCCCCCTCAGCCTAGGAAAAGGCAGGCAATTTTCAAATGTGATGAAGATTTAATACTCTTTTCCAACTCCCAGAATCTCTGCAGCATTCTTATCACAGCCCCCAAATTCTTTTCCTTCCAGCTTGAGATTTATGGCCCAATTAAACTTCATCTTAGATTACAGTCCGTCAGTAGCACAAATGAATCTCAATCTCTTTTTCCTTTGTTGTTTTCAAACAGAGGTGAGGGGAAATACTCTGTCTTTCCAACATAGTCATACTTAAGCTTCCCCTCTCCTTCCTTTCTTCATTTCAGATCACACACCGTTTCCATTTTTACTTGTTAATATCAATATTACTCCAATATCCCTTCCTCACTGGTAAATATATTTTTGTCCTGTATTACGGAGAGGGTTGCTGAGTCATAAATATATAAGACTGTGGGCTTCCCTCTCCCCCAACCAACTCTCACGCCAAAGAAAATCTTATCTCAATTCAAACCTTTGATCCATGTAGCTGATATGTTCCGCAGTATGCTGTTGCAACCCTTTTCCATCACGCGCCAGTACTTTAAAGTCAATTAAAAATCCAACGAAGCAGAAAATCTCTGCTTCTTAATGGCGGCGCAGGAGGGTTTTCACCAGGTGAATGCTTTTGCACTTGGCGCCTCCCTGCCTCTCACATTCCATGCCGGAGCGAGAGCCAGGTACCGAGACAAACTTCGAGTGAAGCCCATTCCCCCCGTCCCTGGGAGGAATTTGCAAGGATAATTTAAGGAGGAGGAGGAGGAGACTTAAACAGCTGTGGGAAGGTAGGGACCTTCAGCCTCCACCACTGCCTCATAGAGGCAAGACCTACGAAGAAGGGTTGCTGTGCTCATTTAGGCTTTTAGGCCTGGCGCTCTTGAGCTGACCTTGTTCCTTCTAATAAAGAGTTCACTTACTTTGTGAGATTTATTCCTGACACCTTCTCCTAACAAGAGTTCACAGAGCCTCTAGAACAGGTATGGGTAGGTGTAGGCAAACTCCGGCCCTCCAGATGTTTGGGACTACAATTCCCATGATCCCTGACCACTGGTCCTGTTAGCTAGGGATGATGGGAATTGTAGTCCCAAACATCTGGAGGGCCGGAGTTTGCCTATGCCTGGGTATGGGGAACCCATGGCGTTCCAGACATTGCCAAGCTACAACTCCCATCATCCCTCACATTTGGCCATGCTGGATGGGGCTGCTGGGGATTGGAGTAGAACTTGGAAGGCCACAGATTGCCCATCCTATTCTCCAGAAGTTAAATCTCTGGGAGGGTGAATGGACGTATCTTGGCACTCTCCTATGTTGTTGTTGTTGTTTAGTCGTTTAGTCGTGTCCGACTCTTCGTGACCCCATGGACCAGAGCACGTCAGGCACTCTTGTCTTCCACTGCCTCCTGCAGTTTGGTCAAACTCATGCTGGTAGCTTCGAGAACACTATCCAACCATCTCGTCCTCTGTCGTCCCCTTCTCCTTGTGCCCTCCATCTTTCCCAACATCAGGGTCTTTTCCAGGGAGTCTTCTCTTCTCATGAGGTGGCCAAAGAATTGGAGCCTCAGCTTCAGGATCTGTCCTTCCAGTGAGCACTCAGGGCTGATGTCCTTCAGAATGGAGAGGTTTGATGTTCTTGCAGTCCATGGGACTCTCAAGAGTCTCCTCCAGCACCATCATTCAAAAGCATCCATTCTTCGGCGATCAGCCTTCTTTATGGTCCAGTTTTCACTTCCATACATCACTACTGGGAAAACCATAGCTTTAACTATACAGACCTTGCACTCTCCTATACATGTAGGCAAAAACATAAGGCATTATAGCTCTGTGTCCATTTACTCTGCATCCAGTGTGGAGCTCACCTCAGGCTGGGTATATTTGAGTCAAGTTAAACATATTAGCCTTACCACAATCCTCCGCAATCTGTACTTTGTATGACATTTCTTTAGTGGCACAAACCCCACACTAAGTGCTTGCCTTCCATTTCAGCATCTCCCCCTCTCTCTACAAAAAATATCTCTACAATAGCAGATATGCATGCTCCTCTATATATGGATTTCTAGCCTTCTCGTCTGCCTGGTTTTTAGACTTTGAGTATTTCACTGCCAACAAATGGATAGAAAGCTTTCCCTTCCTCTCCCCTCCCTGAAAGCAGAGCTTTTTTTATTATTATAAAACTTTAATTGGCTTTAAAGACTGACTGTCGCACCGGCTGACACTTTAAAGTGTTCTGTACAGTAGCAGACACAAAACATGAATCACGGCGCTTGTTTTTCATCTTGCCTCTTGCCACGTTTGCTAATTATTTAATCTCCGTGCATTCCTCTGCTTTCTCGTCTCTTTTCTCCCATTCATTCCTTCGGTAGGCCCTCTGCCATAGCAACTGTCACCCGAGAGTGACAGGGAGTGGGATGCTGGGCGCATTTCAGTCCTAGGGATGGAAGATGCTGGGGCAAACAGTTTGGGAGACCCAAATTGACTCAAAGGAATCGTGGGCGCCCACCAGATGTCCCGTTTTACTGTCCATTCATGATTCTTTGTGCTTATGATAGAGTCAGGGCAGTCATACACTATACTGCTTTCAATAATGCTTCTCCCTGTAGAAGTTGTAGGGAAGAAATCCTGCTTTTCGTCTCTAGTCAGGGCACATCCTCTTACCTTCTGCTGAAATCCTGCAACATTTGCAGAGGTTATTATGATTGCTTTTATTTTTTTATCTATGTCATTTTAAATTGTGATTGATATCAACGCTGTATTCTTAGTTTTTAGATTTTACGATTTATGTGGAAATTGTTTTCCATTTGGTTGTGTACTTTTTGATGAGTTTTATTATTGTTTATGACTTTTGTTATGTTGTTATGAAATAAAATGATGAATGAAGGAGTCTGAATCTGGTTCTGTGTTCAAATGGGCAGCTACCACATGTAGGCATAAGAAGATGTCTTCTACTGGATTATTCCACTAACTCTCTTCTATACAGAAGTATAGTGTCCTGATTCTACAGTTCTATGATGAAAACAATGGTCATTACAGTGAGGTTGAGGGATGGGCACCTATTCAGTACACTTATGGTTTGCTCATATTTTCGATGCTTCATCCATTGCATATAGAAAATGACTACATAGGCAGAGTGTTTCCCTTTATTCTCCTCCCTGAGAAAGAAAATTCCAGTGGGATTTCATCGGAATAACAATTACAATGTGTTCCCCACTCCGAGTGGCTGAATGAAATAATCATTGCCTTCTGCTGGTACATCAAAGCGTACATCACAGTAACCTGTGGTCCTCCAGATGTTGTTGGACTGCAACTCCCATCATCCCTGACCTTTGAAAGCAAACTCAACATTACTAATACATAGCCAAGCCCAAGAGCAGAAAACAAACACAGCAACTGAGCCCCCCTTAAAGAAGAAAACCACCTCATATGTTTTCATAAAGCCAGTAGTGTTGTTGTCTGACAGAGCCTGGCTAGCAATGGATTTTGTAGGTGCAGGGCTTCCCCAGAGATTTCCCTCTGACTTATTACATACCAGTTTCACCACTCCTGGTGGTGTGCAGACGGGAAGAGCCTCAGTTGCTGACCTCAGAGCACAGGCAGGTTCACACAGGGTAGGTTGTCTGACTTGAACCTAAGCCATTTAAGGCTTTAACTCTCAGAACCAGCTCAGAAACACACCGGTTATCAGTGCAGCTGGTATGCTAACGGTGTCATGTGCCGTGACTGTCCAGTTTCCAACAGAATCATAGAATTGTAGCGTGGGAAGGGACCCAAAGGGTAATCTAGTGCAACCTCTTGAAACGACGGAATCACAGCTAATTGCAGCTAATGAATCCCTGACGTAGAATCGTAGAGTTGGAAGGAACCCTGAGAATAACCTGCAGGAATATGCATCTGCCCCGTATGGGGATCGAACCTGCAACCCTGACATTACCAGCACCATGCTTTAACCAACTGAGCTATCTGAGTCCTCCGACTCAGGGCTACCTGGGGGTTATTGGTTTCTTTTTGTTTTATTGTGTCTCTTTTATTCTCATTTTGTATTTTTCTGTTGTAAACCTCCCTGGGATCTTCGGATGATGGGTGGTATACAAAATAATAATAATAATAATAATAATAATAATAATAATAATAATTAATAATAATAAATATGCATTGCAGTAGTCAAATCTGGATGCAACAAGGACATGTATAACACATGCAATGTCTGACCTCTCTAGTCCCATTAAGCTTGGGAGATGATCTCCGTAAGATTGCAAAGTAAGAGTCAATTCAGAGGAGGGCAAGTGCAGAGGAGCAGAAAGCTGTGGCAAACCGCAGGTGTGCTGTGCTCTGCACAAAATCCAGAAATAAAAAAAGGGCAAGCAGGGATGCCTAATACTTTAGTTCCACTATAGAAACAAGGTCAAGTGCTTCAGAATTCCAAAAGCTGGAGGAAAATTCAAAGTTTTAGAATCGGGAGAAGAAGCTGTGACTCAGTGGTAGAACATCTGCTTTGCATGCAGAAGGCTTCTGACATCTCCCAGGTAGAGCTGGGTGAGAACTCAGGCTGAAATACTGGAGAGCTGCTGCCAGTCAGTGTAGACAATACTGAGCTAGATGGACCAATGAACTGGAATCATAGAAATGTAGAATTGGAAGGGAACCTGAGGATTATCTAGTCCAACCCTCTGCAATGCAGGAATCTCAGCTGAAGCATCCACGACAGATGGCCGCTCAACCTCTGCTTAAACCCCTCCAAGGAAGAAGAGCCCACCACCTCCAAAGGGAGTCTTTTTCCATTGTTGAATAGCTCTTACTGTCAGAAAGTGCTCCCTGATGTTTAGTCGAAATCTCCTTTCTTGGAACTTGAAGCCATTGGTTCGGGTCCTAGCCTCTGGAGCAGGAGAAAACTAGCTTTCTCCATGTGACAGCCCTTGATATATTGAAATTGAAATACTTTATTGTCACTTGTACAACTTGTATACAGTGAGATTACACGACCACCCCCCCCACTCAGCTCTCTTAGTCTTAATTCCCCTCGTTTACTGACGCACACCCACCAAACCCGAAAGTCAGTTGCCCTGTTGTTATCTTTCCATTCAGCAGCCTAACAGCCCACGGATAGAAGCTGTTGTTTACCCTGTTGGTGCGACTAATCATACTTCTATATCTTCTGCCAGGGCAGGAGATCAAGAAAGCACCAGCCAGAGTGTGAATCATCCCTGAGAATTTTCCTCACTCTCCTGAGGCAACGTTCTACTACTATTTCATCCAGCGGATTCATGGGACAGCCCATAATATCTTGTGCTGTCTTCACCACCCTCTATAGGCACTTCCTATCAGTTGATGTCAAACCAGCTTACCACACTGTGATGCGGTATGAAATGACACTTTCTACTGTTGACCGCTAGAAGGAGATCATCAAATGTTGATTTGAGCAGAAGGTTGGTGGTTCGAATCCCCGCAACGGGGTGAGCTCCCATTGCTCAGTCCCTCCTCCTGCCAACCTAGCAGTTCGAAAGCACATCAAAGTGCAAATAGACAAATAGGTACCGCTCCAGCAGGAAGGTAAATGGCATTTCCGTGCACTGCTCTGGTTCGCCAGAAGCGGCTTAGTCATGCTGGCCACATGCGCCGGAAGCTGTACACCGGCTCCCTTGGCCAATAAAGCAAGATGAGCGCCGCAACCCCAAAGTGGGTCACAACTGGACCTAATGGTCAGGGGTCCCTTTACCTTTACCTTTTTAAGGTCTTCACTGACATAAACGCCTAGGAATTTAAAGGAAGAGACTCTCTTCGAATATTTTTTTTTTTATATTTGAAGATGGCTATCATATCACTTCTCAGTCTTGTCTTCTCCAGGGTAAACAATTCCAGCTCCCTCAGCTGTTTCTCTTACGACTTGGTTTCCTTTATCACCCTGGTCTCACTCCTCTGCATACATTGTCAACATCCTTCTCAAAGACAGTATTCCAGGTGTGGTCTGACCAAGGCAGAACAGTGTGGCATGATGTGTTCCTCTCATTTAGTTGTGTAATCTGCACATGCAAAAGGAATCCCCATGTGTAATTTCATGCTCCTGCTAACTTTTCCCATAGTTAGAGGCACTATGGTGAGAACCTGGGACTTGCAAGGAATTCACTGAGCCATGGTCCCTTCCTACCTGTATCTCTCTTTATTTCACAACATTACTGCCCCATAGAATTGACTCCCTGAGCTTCATGAAGTCCTCTGGAAAAGGGATTTTACACAAGGGCTCTCTGGGCTATTTTGAAGAACAGGAATTGAGCAGAATGACTGCTGGAGTGGAGCTGATTTTGAGAATTGGTCCAAAACCACCTGCCCAAATGCCTAGTGTTTCTTCAGGCTCAGCTTGGTTTGTACAGGCTTGCTGCTGATATATAATTCAACAAGCAAACCAGGGGGGAAAAAAGAGGGGGAGATAATTTGAACCCCCATTATACACCACAGAGGGGTCTTCCGTGTTAAACACTGGCTCTTGAAATGGATTTTGCTTGGTCCTTGGGCTTTTATCTTTTTTGATTAACCAAAGGTTGTAGGGCAGGTTGTAGGGAGATAAATATTAGTCTCCCTTTAACGCTGTGGATGAATACAGAATACAGAATAACTTTTTTTTTTTTGGCGGTATGTTTTCAGGAATTATTAGTGGGGCAAGATCTTGATCTTGATCGAAAGAGGAAATAATAGAAAATAAAGTGTAAATGTGCACAGGGAGTTGAGTGGTCTCGATGCTAAAACTCTCCTAAAGGAGAACACTCTCCTACAGTAGTGCATTTATGGGTGTAAAATATCTCATAAATAAACTGGATATGTGTGAGCACACTGAAGTGTACATCCAGGAAAAGGAGCTGTGTTTGCAGGATTGGTGCTGGGGAACTACTTATGGGCAGGATTAGGTACAGGGTGGAAATATTTATGTGTTTGTGCACACCACCTTCTTCTGAGTAGGGGCTCTGTTCCATTTCATCTGTTTCAAAACACACAAACATAAGCAGCTAAAGGACACAGAATAGAGAAAACTGCCTTGCACCAAATCTAGCCATTGATCCATCTATCTCAGTATTGTCTACACTGACCTGCAGAAGCTTTCCAGGATTTCAGGCAGAGTTCCCCGCAGCCCTATTTGGAGATCCTGGGGCCTTCTGCTTGCAAGGCAGTTGCTCTGCCATTGAGCTATGACCCGTTATCACTCAACTCTAGCAGTGAGCTGTGGTTCTCTCAAGCCGTCTCTATCACTACAATTCCATGATGGAATCACAGAATCATAGACTTGTAGAGTTGGAGGGGGCCAATGAATCAGCTATTGAATTTTGCCTATTATATGGTTGTAGTGATGCTTGAAAGCATCAGATAGTTCAGCCTTGCCAGACTCAAGTGGCATTGCAAGTTGTTGTTGTTGTTTAGTCGTGTCTAACTCTTCATGACCCCATGGACCAGAGCAGGACACATATCTATGGATACGCAATTTCACAATGGTGACTCCCCCCCACAAATTGTAATTTTGCACCCTTGTTGTGTATCTAATGTACAATTGGCTTCTCTGAGTGTCCTATGCACAACTGGATTTATTGCACGCAATTTCCCATTTAAAAACTCTAGCGATTTCATTTAATTGTGCATTGTTGCTCATGTAAATGACCTGGCTTAAATTTGCATTGTCCTCTATTTGTTGCTGATCTGAATGATTGCTGTTTGTTGCATGCACATTTTCTTAATTGCACCACAGCTTGTGGAAGCAGCCCCCCCTCCCCTAACGCCATTGCAGGTCTAACAACAGTGCTGTGAAACCTGTTACATGTTCATGGCACTTACCCATGATAGCAAATTGAATCTTTTTTTATTATTCAGGAACAGAATAGTCTGAAACATCTGGCAGGCATCAAGTTGGGGAAGGTGTCTCTAGACCTTTATCCCAACCATGGGGTGGCTTTTACCAGGTTTGAAACGGTTTGCTGTTATCCTCTGCAATCTTGCTTGGAAGGAAAGGAGTCCATCTGAACACAGCAGAGGTTTGCTTCCATGTAAAAAGGTATAGAATTATAGATGCAAGTCCCCTGAGGCATCAGCATGACCTCTTGTACCCTGTAATGCAGTGTTGCACACTTGTGAGACTATATAAGTGATGCAGAATCTATGTTCTTCCAGATGTTCTAGACTGCATCTCACATTAGTCCCAGCCAGCTTGGCCGACGATGTGGCATAAGATATGTCCATTGAGGAGGAATAGTTCTGCACACCTGGCCTCTCATCAGTGGTTGCACTGTGCTTACTTGGGCTGAGCTATACAGCTGTAAATAAAACGTTTTAAGTGTCTTGTAAAGTGCATTATGTGGCGCTGTGGGTTAAACCACAGAGCCTAGGACTTGCCGATCAGAAGGTTGGCGGTTTGAATCCCCACGACGGAGTGAGCTCCCGTTGCTCGGCCCCAGCTCCTGCCAACCTAGCAGTTTGAAAGCACGCCCAAAAGTGCAAGTAGATAAATAGGTACTGCTCTGGCGGGAAGGTAAACGGCGTTTCTGTGCACTGCTCTGGTTCGCCAGAAGTGGCTTAGTCATGCTGGCCACATGACCCGGAAGCTGTACACCAGCTCCCTTGCCCAATAAAGCAAGATGAGCGCTGCAACCCCTAATGATCAGGGGTCCCTTTACCTTTAAAGTGTATTATACAAATGTGACACTAGATGGCAGTGGTGAGCTATGGGAAATTCAATATATTTTTCAAACTTTTTAAAAAGGATTTTCCCGATGTTTTGTATATGCATGTAGATTCCACCTAGGATGGGGAAAGGCAATGTGGTGCAGTGGTCAGTGCAGGGCATATGCATTGGCAGAGCCAGCCTGGCACTTCCACAGCTGCTCCCGCACCAACCTCCCTGCCATCTTGCTCCTCCGGGTATAAGTACAGAGACATGGCTGCTGGGAGGCAGGTGTGCATTACTGCCCCTTCCTGCTGGCTGCCCACAGGCAT